TCTAATAACGATTTATTATAAAAGTGAATGTACGTTGATGTCTAAGATTTTTAACAAGATGGAAGAACACGAAGTGGTTATTATTAAAGTATGATTATTACTCATAACCGAGAACACAAGTACTAATTAAACGAGAACGTTTGAATACAGAACCACACTTTTTAGCCAGGTCATGAATTCTCTCACAGTTGCATATATTAATTTTGTAACAGGTACATTACATGACACATACGGTCCTAAGTCACAGAGAGCATACGGGGCGCCGCGTTAACGTCCAGCCACGACTTTCCAACGTTTGCTTCCGCGCGTTTAGTTTCGAGACTTTTGAAAATCTATTATCCGATCGATTAATTTATGAATATCGATTAGTTCATTCGCAGATCCGACGAAACGATTTACCTGAACTCGTATCCTGATCCACTTATCCGACCATTCGATACGTTCGATCGTTATATTTGGTTCTAGATCACTAAATTAATTATGAAGATGATCGAAAGTTAAGGACGAAAGATACACGATGAATTCGAAGGAAACCGACGGAACAACGGGAAACGGTAGCGCGGTCCACGTGTGACGTACGTGAGACAGGATCCCTTTATAGATTGCGTGTGCTCACCAAGTATGCACGTTCAGTACAGTACAGTCGTTCATTACAAAGCATTACAATACAATACAAAGTAGCGTAGAGTTTCATAATGGTAGTCCACTTGTAGCGAAATAGTATTTAAACAGTCCAAGCAGACAAAGAAACCGGAAAAAAGACACATAATCGACAAGAAAAGAAAAAAAGAAATTGCAGCTAAACGTTAACACTGAGTAAACGTTGATCGATAGAAAAAGGCAAAAAAAAGCGAAAACTGGGGAAAACAGGAAAAACAAGAAATGAATCGATCTTCATGAAGTACATGGAAGACCACGCATACACAGATGTTACACGGACACACACGCACTCACTCAGGCATCATTGGCACCGAACATCGTGACACGGGGCAGAGCGGAATCGTGCACTCAGCTGGGGGCGGGAAGGGGGAAGGGCATCGCTGAGGAATCAACGATGCCACGAAACGAAAGAGAGACAGAAAGGGAAACGCGTAATACGCGTCATACACACACGGACGTACCTACACGTACTTGCACACTCGCACACGATACACACGAGATCACGCGAAGGACAAATTTTGATAGCCAAGCGAGGGAGACGACGCGAACGCGCGTGTGCTCGCATACGAAAAGAGGAAAGTATGGAAAGGGTCGACGGCGCCCGAACGAGTGCCCGTCAGCGTCGCCAGATTTATATATGTATATTGTATTATGCATGTCGATATACAGTCGCATATATCGATGGAAAACGAAAGTAAACGAAAAATAAATGAAAGAGAAACGAGAAGAAGTAAGTCGGGAAGGAGAAAACGAGAGAAAATAAAAAAGAGAATTACGATGTAAAAGTGCCGGACAGGGTGACCGGGCGTCCCCCCTTTATACACACACACACGCGTACATGCACACTACACACACGGAGATACATTTGCAACACACGTACAAGAAGGAAGTACGTCGACGGACGTCGACGCCGTTTCGTTTTGAAAGTACCTTGCGCGAGTCGTCTCGAATTGTTTAGTACAAAATGGAAATGCTCTCGGTGGACAAGATACGTGCGATCCACGTTCCACGCGATTCAGACCAGGGTATAGAGCACCAGTCCGCGGATTCGATGAGAAACCAGGTTTCCTTTTTTGCATTTAACGTCATCAGCGACGGGGGCCACCATCGTGTGAGCTGCGACCCGAACGATCCATGGAATGTAGCCGTTGTGGTTTTGGATGCAAAGGAATCGCAGCTCTTCCCGTTTCCAACAACGACAGGCGTGTTAACAGTGTTCCTGAACGAAAAAGAAATTTCCGATGTAAACAGGAAAGAAGAGAAGCGCAGCTTTTGAACGATTACCGCCTGAACTCGGGGGACACCGCACGGCGCTCGCTGTGGACCGTTCGGTTTCGCCGGGAAATACGTATATTTTTTTGTATGGAATGGGTACGCGACGATGATTTCGAAAACCACCTGGCCGGGAACACGTTCTGTCATCATACTTTGTTGCGCTGATTTCGCCGGATAGACTTTATATCGATGTTAGGTGTGCATCTTCGAGCGTCACTACGTTTTAAAGGATTGTAAGGCGCGCGCGCGTGGCGCGAGAGGTACTCGGGTGTATTGGGTCGCGTGTCGTTTCGGTGTTGGGGGTAAATTCGGGGGTATTCTGCTTCGAAGGGTACCGTTCGCCGCGATGTACGCGGTATCCTATTCTAACGCACAGAAATAAACAAAGGTTCCTGTTCGTGTGAGGTCCTCTCGCGTCGCGCGACACTTCGAACGAAACGAAGACGAGAACTGCCATTTTCCAATTATCATACATCATCATCATCGACGCCCACGGAAGATCGAGAAATCATTGAACAACCGTGAATTTATTCGTTGTCCTACCTTGCGAATGCGAAGAGGGAAGTGTGAGGAGGTGTAGAGGTTGCGGAGGTTAAAAGAGGAATGCGAGAGTTCGCGGCGAAAGCGGATGTCCGGTTCGATCGCGTTCATCAATTTCGCGAGTCTTTCGGTACCGATCATACAAATCGCTCCAATTCGTTCCATCGAAACCGAAATGTCGTCTCCCATGGACGAACGCGCTACATTCACGAGCAGTACTATCTTGCAAAGCACATAATATCCACGGTTCATCAAGCATCCTTAAGAGGTGGGTCAATTATTTCGGAAAGTATTTACAACGTTGTTTCGAATGTTCATAGGACACGGTCGATAACGAATTTCTTCTGCATTCCGTACATCCGTTTCGAATATTTTACACCGAACGAACTGGAAACGGAACTATCGAATTACGTGAGATTAAGAATTCAATAAGCATTTCGCTTTTGAATCTAATTGGAAGTGTCAAGGCATTGGTGTACACCGTAGATCGCGGAAATTCAAAATTCACTTTGATCGGCATAGTTTCATCCCATTGCACGCTCAATGATCTATGCATGATCTACGTGTTAAACGCAATTCGATTGTTCAGCTCTGGGACGTCCATCATTGGTCAACCGTTTCGATTGATTTACACTTAAACATGACATATCAACGACACTTTTTATATTCCGGACGCATCGGATGATTCTTTATGTAATCTGAGAAAGCGATATGAAGTGGTGACTGTAAGAATGTCGAGTCTATGGGATATCGTGTGCTTTATGGGATCGAATGTACATAGCGTATACATAATAGGAAAAATTGCGGCGGCGTGTAGTGTATGAAATCTCACGATTCGCGAATGTCGGGAAGGAAGATGATTATGTTTCGAGACGCGCCACCCCAACGTCGGGCACGCGGCCATGCCACTTGTTTCAGTCGATTCGAACCGATTAATTAAGCCTCGATTTCATTCGCCTAAGGTTTCTAGCCGTGTATGCTTCACAGACAACGAATCTCTCGACTCGCCAAATGACTCGCGACCGACAATAGTTTATGCGACCCTTCGACACGATTATTTCTGTGCAGAAATTTGTATTGTTACGTAAGACAGAACTTAACGGAGAAACGATCGAGCACTCTCAAGCAACTATCCAAAGTGTCCTGAAACGAATTTCTCATTACGAAAATTGTTTATATTTGAACGACCGAAGTATTGTATAGCGCTAAGTTCAATCCTAAAACAATCGATGTTGTGAAAACTTTCGAATCGTATCTTTCTGTGAAAAGACTATGATGAAAACTGAGTTCCTCTGTGCGGTGTTAAACGAAGAATATAAGAAATCTCGAGAATAGTAGCTTTTATTTTCCTTTATGGGTTTAAGAAAGCCGAACTCGACTAAACACGGTTGTTAAGAAGAGAATATTTGTAAACGTGTTATATAAGTTTTGTCTTACACGAGTATTGTGCTTCAACTGCGGAAAAGAGATGCATCGGCGCTTCTGATTTGAAAAGTGCAACGACGAGCGGATATATTTTGAACAGTTAGAATTAAGTTCCGATGGTTAGCGTCAATTTCAGTGCCATTTCCGTGCCATCGCTTTCCTTCGTAAGCACTCAGGACGGATCGTGGACTCGCTTTCCACCCGCTAAATGACAAAAAATGAAAAGAAATATTTGTTATCGAGTGCTAACCTCGAAAATGATTTAATTAATAAATTCGACTGATTTGCGAAAGAATTGGATAGATTCAGTGGTGCGGAAAAGAGAGAATGAGGGTAGCATGAACGAAAGCGATGCCCAATTTGAAGCGTGTGAATCATAACGACCGCGACGTTTAAGATGGTCGAAAACGAGACGGAAGAAGGAAGACATTTTAGGACAAGAGGTATCGATGTAACGTGTAGAGAGTCCTTAGTGAAAGTAAAAGTAACGGGGAAGACACTGAGCGGGCGTAAGGCGATGTTGTTTGACTTATCTGCGGAATGGCACATTCGCGGTCCTAAGATCTAAGCATAAAAGAAAATAATATGAAGATAATGGAGAATTAAAAACGGAGCACATGAAATGATGGGAGAAAGGCGTATTTAAAAGGCCTACGTACTGTCGCACTCGTTTGAAAACTTATTGCAAGAATGCACACGAAGTAGCGTACACTCACTGTACCGTTTGTTGACGCGAATAACCACGCGAATTAAAAGTCGATTTGATTTATATGTACACGGTGAGCCCGAGGTTCGCACGAGGACACGCGCGTTTATGCAGGAACAAGCGAGAGCAATCTGTCGATTGACAACCATGTCCCTTTGCTTGACCGCCGGTAGCAGTCAGTGACCGATCCGCTTCTTTTTCGTAAACGCTAATGTCCTCTGCGGCGATAATTGTTATTATACGAACGAATTCAAGACGGCATGGTATACAAGACTAAGAACAAGACCTAAAATGGGGACATAATATTTTATAACTCAACTTTTGTACAGAATAAATAAATACTTGTACTGTGGACCAATATTTGTTTTATTTCATTAGTATCCCTGAGAATAGAAACCGAACTCGATGACAATGAAAGGACCGTAGAAGATGGGCAAATAAAACTACATTGCAACTGACAAGAAAGAAGTAAGGTGGCCTCTTATACGTAAACAGTACCCCTATATTATACGTATCAAAAATTATATATACTCTGTACAACAATTTAACGTCCAGATACATTTGAATTCTTTACATTTTTTGTTATATAAATTATTTATTTTTCGTTTGAACTAACGGTATTATGACAATACTATTTTTCGCTTCTGGAATACGCCACCATCTTCCGAGTCTGTGTTCTTGACCAACGGCAGCAACAAGCTCGGTTCCGTCCGGAGTAAAACATAATGCGTTTATGAAACCTGTTAATTGAACTTCAAATAGTAGATTCAACGACCTGAAGGAATCGCCACACTGCCATAATTTAATGGTACCATTTCGAGAACCTGTAATATTATAGACGTAAAAAATATTCAACATCTAAATTTCAATGTACCCAAATATATTCAGTACCTGATGCAACTAAATCTGTATTAAGCAATGCACCTATACTCGAAATCCACATTGGCTGATTATTCATTTCATCTCTTCCATGTGCATCTGGTACAGAACACAAAGGTTTCTTCTTTAAAGAACCCCAAACAGATAATTGTCCATCGTCTCCACAACTAAAGAAATTCTCTTCGTTTATAAGCTTTACACTATCTATGCTGCCACCATGTCCGTTAAATATGAGTTGCGATTCCTCCACGATTTTCCAAATTCTAATTGATCCGTCAAAACCCCCACTCGTAATTGCTCGTTCCCGTGCTAGTGCATCAATCGATGTGATACCACTTTGATGGCCAAATCTATTAAAGAAATGAAGTAATAGATTTTCTTTAAATCACAAATAATGAAATTTACCTCGAGTCACATGTATATTTAAAAAGAAATACACACACTTACAAAGATTCTACGTATGCCATATCGTCCAGATTCCACACCTTTACACACCTATCTTCAGAAGCAGAATATAAAGCATGAGTATCTTTACGAAACACTAAACCAGTCACGCTACCTTTGTGACCCTGTAAATTCTTTATGTGACTCAAGGTATTTGCACAAAATACCTTAATATCTTTGCAACCAGTATCTCCTACTACCTTTAAATGAAAAAATTACCATTTAAATGTGTTCATATATTTAATTATATTCTATTAGAAAATTTCTTTATATGGCCTTACCAAAAATTTGTTATCAGTGCTAACAGCTATACATTGAACACACTTTATTCCATCTTCAGTCTTTCTTTTTCCCTTAATAGATTTTAATTTAGTTCTTTCTTTTAAAGACCCTAATGAATAACACAAAGTAAAGTAGAACTGTACAAAAAAATGTTATACATAATAATAAATTAACTATAAATAATATACATTTGACTAAATTGCCATCCTTTGAGCCAGAGTATAAGAACTTCCCATTACTAGAAAGGCATATACAGGTAATAGAAGTTCTGTGTTCTTTACACTTCAAAACAATTGGTTCATTGTGACTAACATAATTTGATGCTATAGTTTTTCGTAACCGTCCCTTCTCTTCTAGATATTCTTCGTGCAATCTTTTTGTTACTGCTCCTTGTTCAAATTCTGCTCTATCCCTCTCTATATATATGTATGGAAGAAGATAGAATTTAATAAAATATTATGTTTCTAGAATATATCTATAACAGATTACCTTCTTCTTCAATTTGCGAAAGATATTTCTTTGCCAATCGTATACGTTTTTCCTGTGCAGTTTCTTCTTCCTCTTCACTTTCATATTCTTTACTGTGATCTCTGGAAATGGCAACAGTAAAATCATATATGAATAATTAATCTTTTCAATACAACACTATTGAAGTATGAATACCTCTGATTTTCTTCTGCAAGTTCTTCATCTGTACTGGCAATGCTTTCATTATCATCGTGTACAGATTTCTTTAAACTCTTCTTTCCTTTACTCTTCCCAGCATGACCATTAAACTAAAAATTTAGTACAAATATTTTGTTATAAATTACGTGGAGTAAATATACTTCGTTAGGTACATGAACAAAAATATAAAAGCATACAAAAGAAATATAAAGTGTACCTTTCTCTTATTACCTCCGGTGCTTTGATTATTTCGAATAAAAAATGACATGATATATTAAAAATACTCCTTAAACTGATTAACCTATCTCACAGTAACCACATGGCATGTATTTCATATACATAGGAGCTACCAACTGTACATTTTATAAAATTCCTATTAACCGCAAGTGTATCTAGTACAAAATAGTCTGCATCAAAATGCTTGTGGTACGACAAGAATGTCAACTAGGTATTGAGAGGGCAACTTTTCGTGAGGGGAGTGTCACTAGAGTATTACGGGCCACATTTAGACATCCTTGACCTAGCCTTCCATTCAGATAAAGTCCGCTAGTCTAACAGGGTATTTTTGACGGAGTTGGTATCTCGGAACTGTAGACAGAAAATTATATTGCACGTTCCGTCTATACAGATCTTAGATCTGTGATGTTTTATATATTATTGAGTATCACGGCATAAGAGGGAGTTATAATTTCGTTTGGTACTGCTCTCAAATTCTTGCAGTGTGGTGTTATATTTTCATCGTTGGTTTGTGATACTTTTCAATATTATTGAACACTATAAAGATATACCGATATTTTCTGACAGAAGAACATCGATAACAAGAATTAATCAATCAATAAAATTGATTTTAATGTTTGAATGCGATCATAAAATATTGATTCGTATATTAAGTCAGGCATGCAGTGTGTAATATATCTTTAATCATTGTTAGAAAATGTTATGTGACGTTAGCCATGGACATAAATCGAAATGGGAAGCATGATCTTCCCCAAGTACATAATTGTGTACTCTTGTGTTATCAGTAGTGATGTGAATAGATGTTTTGTGAATTGAACAAGACAACCTGGCAGAAGTAAGAAACGATAATTGTGAAGACCGAATCGTCCCTAACCTTTTCTAGCAGAAGTACCTCTTACTGTTCAATTCTTGGATTTTTACAATCTGTTCGTTAAAGAATACAATTTGTTGATAACGTCTCACATACACTTCTTATTAAATTTAATATTCACAAAATGGTGTGTAATTTATTTGTACTTTTGACGTTTTCTCCATGAAGAAGGCTAACATTGAATGAACATATTTTCATGCTTAGGAAACACCTGCAACTACGGATTTGGATTTTGTTTACGATGATGCAGATACTCATGCTAATGAAATTGCTGAGTTATATAGTTATACGGAACAATATGAATTACATGTTAATCTTACTGTGAGTATGTAAAGCAAGTAACAGAAATCCTTGAATAACATAATATTGGAATTTTTCTACATAAAAATTATATAATAGATTGTAGTTTAATGAGAAATCTATTATAATGTCAATTTCTCTTCTGCGACTAATAACACTAATAAATGTGCACGTAATTAGTTATACTTATTCATTAGTTGACATATAACACCCATGTCAAAGAACTAAATGTTTTTTTCTGGAAATGAAACAAAAATAAGAGTATAAGTAAAAAAGTATTTTAGTGTGTGTGTATGTTTTATAGAATATAATTTTTTACATGATATGAAGATTTCATCTTATTATTATTCTATTGTTTTCACTACTCAAGACAGTTAATTGTATTAAAACAGGAATTAGAAAGGAACTAGAGAAAAAAGTATATTAACTTTGTATTTCATTTTATTTTTATTTTGTTAGACTTTAAATAGTAGCATGAAGATCTGCTATCTATGTGTCCACTATGATATATTTAAATTATATAAATTATGACAAAACTAATAAAACAGACATATTCATATATAGGCTTTTGAAGAACAAATGGAGTTTTATAAATTACGACCATTATGGCAAAACTTAACAGAAGTAGAACAAAAGTCAGTGATCTGTAAATTATTGGATCAGTTAGAGGTTTCCAACAAGCAGTTAAGAATGCAAGCTGCAAGGTGTATTTTATATTTAGCTCAAGGGTGTTGGGCTGAAGTACAGTCTGATAAAGAGCAACAAGACAGGACTCGAACAAATGTAATGTTATTATACGAAGCTGGAGTTTTTTCAGCATTTGTTGAACTTCTTAATATTGAAATCGAGTAAGTATATACACATGTGTAAGCAACTTTTAAATTTTGTACAGTATTTTCATGCGTGTACTTTTTATGTTCCAGAAACAGTACAACAGTTACCTCGGCAATGAGGAAAATAACTGTTAGTCTTGATGACTCTATTGATTTAAGAGTAATCTTATCTGTTTTATACATTATAACTGAAGTAATGAGAGAAGAAATGAAAAATTTAGATAATAGTATTTATAAGGATCATGTTGAAGCTTTTAAAGAAGATCTAATAAATCCATATGGCGAAGAATTGCTTATTGTTAAGCTTCTTGGTATGGTGACATGCTTTTGCAGTGGATCTGCACCACATTTTGCTATGAAAAAAGTACTTCTACTTTTGTGGAAGTTAATTTTAGTGTCTCTTGGTGGTATTGATACACTGAGACGACTGAAAAAACAATATCGTGAGGAAGCTGGACTTGATACACAACAAGAAGATACTATAGAAGTTGCTAAGACAATGAGGCCCAGCTCACCTCCAATTAATGCTGGAGACTTAATTGAAACACAAAATCAGAAGATAAATAGTAAATACCGGCGAGTATGTACTGTTACATATTTAATCATGCATAAAAATTGTATGAACACTAAAATTATAATCATATAACTTATTTTAGCAATGTTTAATAAAACAAAGATCATTAGATGAACCATTATCAGGTGTGGTATTCGAACTTACAGAAATGAGAAATGCAGGTTGGAATGAACCTTGTTACCTTGAAGACCAAAATAATCAACCAGAAGTAAGGCCTAGTACTCCACCGCTTACTAAGGGGAAAGGTAATATCTATATCTTATATATTTTTATATGTAGAATAATTGATTATATAATAACTTATTTCTTTAGGTTTACCATGGACACCAAAAGTCAGACAACAGGACGTTGACACTTTTCTGGAAGTATCCAGACTAAAGTTTGTTGGTTATAAATTACAAGGAGATAGAGAAAGTTTGGCTGGTTTGCCACAACCAATACATGAAGGTGTTAATACACTAAAACGAGTAAGTGTAGTAATCACAAACGTTATATTTAAGATTTAAAGGTTACATAAATATAACATTAACTACTATTTTTTTAGCATATGTATACGTCTTTAGCTGAACTTCAAATACAAAAAGAAGAGGAAATTGCCAGGAACCCAATGAGTACACCAGAGCCTCCAATTCGTCAAACACCAACAGAAATATTATATCAAGCTATATTACCAAATCTTCCACAATATATGATCGCGTTATTAAAAATTTTACTCGCTGCTGCACCCATCAGTAAAGCTAAGACAGATAGTACAAATATCATGGCCGATGTTTTACCAGAACAAATGCCGTAAGAATGAAAATTTCAAACAGTCAGTAACAAATTTTTGTTATTACATTTTAATTCTTTTTTTACATTACCTGTTTCAGTATGACGGTCGTACAATCAATGACACTTGGTATCGATGTAAACAGGCATAAGGAAATCATTGTTAAAGCAGTTTCTGCAATTCTGTTACTCTTGTTAAAGCATTTCAAACTGAGTCATATATACCAGTTTGAATTTATGTCGCAACATTTAGTATTTGCTAACTGCATACCACTCGTCTTAAAATTTTTGAACCAGAATATTGTAGCTTATATTGAAGCTAAGAACGTGTATGTATTCGTCTATGATTATCGCTTTGCAGAATTTATCTAAATTACATTTATGAAACTTTTTTACAGTATTCCAATTTTGGATTTTCCTATGTGCGTTATTGGTGACCAACCAGAATTAACTATACAAAGCCTTGAAATTGGAGATAGCCAAACGTATTCTTGGCGCAATGTTTTTTCCAGCATTAATTTATTGCGTATTCTTAACAAACTGACAAAATGGAAGCATAGTAGAATTATGGTAAAAATTATATTTATTTAAAATATTTATTTTATCTTTAAATAGATCTCACCTTCAACCATTCTTAACAGATGCTGGTCGTTTTTAAATCCGCACCTATATTGAAGCGTACGTTAAAAGTTAGACATGCAATGATGCAATTATATGTATTAAAATTATTAAAAATGCAGACCAAATACTTAGGACGGCAATGGCGGAAAAACAATATGAAAACAATCAGTGTAATTTACGCAAAAGTTAGACATCGTTTAAACGATGATTGGGCTTACGGCAATGGTAAGATACAAAATGATTAAACCTATATTTATGCGTGTTAACTACAGAAGTATATCATTATATAACGATTTTCGACATTGTAAATATTACTATAATAAGTTGAAGGTGTTATGTTTCTTGCCCCGTATAAACATTGTAAACATATTCTTACGTCGTATTTTAGATTTAGAAGCACGACCATGGGATTTTCAAGGAGAAGAATGCGAGTTACGCAGATGCGTCGATCAATTTAACAATCGACGATACTCTAATGCTCCTAAAAACAAAGACATGGAACCTGTTGACACATCTGTTATATCAGTGCTTGGAGCAAACGTTGAATTGAGCGAAGAGTTTAAGCAACATTATGAATTATGGTTACAGAAAGAAGTATTTGAGAAAAGTATTAACTGGGACCAGTTATTGGATCCTGAATCATGTGAACTTTAAATTTTTAATGAGTGTAATATATTGAAATGATATTTTCACTGACAAACAGACCTGCATCAAATTTTGACGTTTTTATAAATTATGCACTATTGTGAAGTGTTTAAAAAAATGAAGCGAAAAAAAGAACGTTGCTAAATCGATACTTCGAAAACTGAATTTGTATTTGGTTTGTATATATTTGAACTGTGAATGGTACTAATCAAGCAGACGTTCAATGAAAATACTAGTGAATATGAAAATGAAACGACTGTTTAGAAAATAATCTGTATTCATTGTTTTTTTACAGTTTTTGTGTGTATTTAATTTGTGCAATGGTTATTGCTGATAGCAATATTTTACGATTACATACTTATAAATAAATATATAATCGTCTCTTACGTATTTACGATATACTAGGATAAATTTATTCGAAAATATATATGTATATCATTCATATTATTCACGTTTTATGATTTAAGTTTCTGTAAATTAATTTTTAATGATGTAACAGGTATTCCGTAATTTGCATACCAACTCAACTTTCTTGTATTTTGTATAATTTTTATATGTACTCAATTTTTCCATTGTTATAAGGATAATATATATGATTATAACCTTTACAATATTTACAAAAAAATACAAAAAGAAATTTTAACATATATTTTAATTCAATTGGAATCATATTTAAAAGAAATATTTGCTAACTTCGTACTTTAAACATTTTCTTGGTTCATTATTAAATGTGGCAATTATATGTGTCTGACCTGTGTCTTTGTATTTAGCTAGTCTCTTAGTATGCAAGGAAGAAAGAGATTGAGGGAGAGAGCTGAATAATAGAAACAGTCTTATAGAAATTTATAAAATTTCAAACGTGCAGAAAGCAGGAATGGCTTATGCATTTTTGTTATCATTTTTTACTTTATTTGATAATGAATCGTGTAAAATATAAAATATGAAACTAATAGACTGAATAATTCAACTTTCTCTTACTTATTTATTATAATGTATAATTAAACTGTTTCAACGCGATGTATTAATTACGTATAATTTATGATACTTCGGCTACTGTACATAATATTTCATGTGATTGGCGTTATATTTAAATGGTCAAAATTAAATAAAATTATGATCTACACACAGTTGTAATTTTTAAATGGTTCATTAAGCTGTCATATCATAAATTACATTTGTCGTATAAAAGTGTATAAAACATTTTATAACAATATAAATTACTTGAGATTGTATAAAGTTATAAATCAAATGATCACGTTTTATTTATAGGCATTTACATATCTCATTTGTCATCTAAAATGTACACTTTCCCCATTGTATGCTTAAAAACTGCTTTAATAGGCCATATAATTCGATATATTAATAAATTAGTTGTATAAATTGATTATATATGTATATAAAATTTTGGATAAGTATCGTATAACTATTGATATAAAAAATATGGGATGCTATGATCACAGATAATGAATTGAAGTACAGATTTCTGTGGCTTATGATATTGACAATATTGAATATAGTGAAGATATCTGAAGCATTATGGCTTTACCCATTTATAGGAGCCATAATAAGCAAAGTTGTTTTGTTTCGCTACTTCATCAGCTTCTTTAGGTCCACGAGAACCGTACCTGAAATTAAAATCGTATATAATATTATTAAACGGTTAATAATGCATATACCATTTTCAGATCTTCGATCAAAGTCTCAAAGTATTAAAATATCAAAACTTACTTGTAAGGAATGGGTTTAATTTGTTCGTTCTCTATTTGATGAAGCAATGGCGTGAAGATCCTCCACGCTTCTGAAAGCTCATCGCTACGTACAAAATGCATTTGTGAACCACAAAATACATCCAATATTAATCGTTCATATGCATCAGGAAGTTTTAAATCCTACAATAGGTATTAACATATTATAAAAACTCCTGTTTTCTACTTTTAATAAAACCAATCCAATATATGTGCATACCTTGTATCTACAACCGTAAGTAAGGTCTAACTCGGTTTCTTCCATATCAAACGTAATACCAGGCGATTTTGTCATCATTTTAATATACAAAGCCTCACCAGGTTGTACTCTTATCACTAATTCGTTCCTTTTGGCCTTTCCATCAAATATATCACCGGGTACGTCTTGATATTGTATTCTAACTTCTGCTTTTCGTTCATTTAACGCTAGCGAATGAAAAACGATCTAATTAAATATAATGTACTTTATCAAGGTATACTAAGCGGCATAAAGACAAAAATGCCTTCATTGGTACTTTCTATTGTAATGAATTATACAATGCTGTATTCACCTTTCCCACACCTAAGGATGAAAGGTACACCGTCCCACCGCTCGTTATTAATTTTCAGAATAGCTAAAGCAAATGTAGGTGTGTTAGAACCACGTGGAACAGTAGAATCATCTAAGTAGCCTAATTGAGCTTCAGGATCATCTGAATCAGGATCCCCAACATATTGACCTAACACTACATTCTCTAGTTCCAACGGTTTCATACACTTTAAGACTTTAACCTTCTCATTTCGTATATCATCGGGATGACAAGATGCAGGCTTCTCCATTGCAACCAACGACAAGATTTGCAACAAGTGGTTCTGCATCACATCCCTAATAATTCCAAATTCATCGAAGTAGCCACCCCTCCCTTGTGTACCAAATGGTTCTTTGAATGTAATTTGCACAGAAGCCACATTTTCTCTATTCCAGGTTGGACTAAATATTCTATTACCAAACCTGAGTGTCATCAAATTTTGAACCATTTCCTTGCCTAAGTAATGGTCAATACGATAAATCTGTTCTTCTTTAAACAAGGATGCTAGATGATCAGACAAACGCTGTGATGTGATTGCATCTCTGCCAAATGGTTTCTCTATAATCACTCTTGTCCAACCTCTACAATGAAAAAGATGTTAATATCAACTTTGAACTATAGTCTTAGCTGGTTGTAAGTCTAAATACCCATGCCTAAACATCCAAAAAATATTGCAGAATTTTACACTGCTAATTATTCCTTAACTTATAAAATTAATCTATCTGTACTAGAGCTATTTGATCAATTTTGTCACAAACTTCAAACTTGACATTAGTCTGTGCGAATAAGTGTCTTTACACAAATTCTTATATTATGCACTTACTTGTCGCCCATACAAACATTTCTGATGTGTACGGTGACGCTTTCAAACACGCTCGGTGGCAAGGCCAAATAGAACAACCGGTGAGCATTATGGTAGCCTTGTTCGTGTTTTTTCAATTCATTATTTAATAACTCGAAAGGTTCTTGTGAGTCGTATGACCCGGGAACGTAAGAATTCAGTCTCCAGAACTCCTCATATTTCTCCTGTTCCTCTGGTTTTACCTTCATGTAGGGATGGCACTTTAAACGTAACTGAGCGACCGTCATGTGAGTCCGCGCATAGCCGAAGAAAGTTGTGGTTTTTGGCAAAAGATTGTCCCTGAATAGCCACCATAACGTCGGGTAGATCTTCTTTCTGGCTAAGTCACCCTGTAATCATCGATAAATTCGTTAATCAGATCTGCTGAAGGAATTGTATATATCATGATTGTATTCCAGTTCCATACTGTACTTCATATCCTGAAAATATGTTAAAGATAGCCATAAAGAATTAAAATAATATAATTCAGGATATACGGGATTAAAATAAAATAGTATTTGTTTAGTAGAAGAAACAAACTATGGTTGAAAGAAGATTGAATACTAGAGAACATTTCTTCATATTGAACAATTTAAAACACATTCAGGATTCTAAGGATGTGAATCATTCCAGATTGATAGTATTTGGGTGCTCATAGTAAGATGGCAACTATTGTAACTTTTGATGTGTTTTAGATCACTTTTTACAAGCTATAGCAACTATCATAGTACTTAATTGAGTACGAAAATCATTTAAAATTTAGAGTGTTATATGTCGCTGAAATCGTAGTTTCATTCAGCATGAACTTATAAAATCAAAAATATAACGTCCTTCAAAATGACGTACCGAATTGATGAAACCACGTTCAACTATTTATCAATAATTTTTTTAATTTATTTTCTTTATCTTATCGCAAGTATCATAAAAATCATACATATCGTTACGATAAGCACTCTGTAAGCACATTGACTGTACAGTCATCATGTCTTTAAGAATATATTAACACTTACAGAAGCACCGAGTGTGATGAAAACGTGCGGATACAGTCCATCGAAGTGGATACCTTCGAGGTGATCCATTTCATCCGATTTTAGGGACTGCCTGATGAAGCGCAGGCTCTCTTCTGTAGACCTCTCTGCAATACAAAAGTGTAAAAATAATAATTATGTTGCTTAAAAATAAGTTTAAAAAAGTGTATTGCACACACACTTTGATGTATAACATATGTAAATTAATTCATTGTACAAGGATAGCTGAAATGGTGATGCAAAAAAACGAAACAAAAGAATAGCTCTAAAGAACTTTTCTTCGAAGCTTAACTTTCAGCAAGGAAGATTTTGAGGATTTTTGGGGATTGATAAATAAAATTCAACCCGTTTGTCTATTCATTACTTACAGTTTCCGCTTACTCCAATAATCACTATTTAATTATTACAGGCGCGTACACCAATTTTTATTTCATTTGGAGTTTGATGAAACTCTTTATGGCGTAAACAATTTTTTTATGAGATCCGTATTTGCATGAACATCCGTAGAGTATTAATTATTATACAGTAACTTACTTATAATGAACATTTATATTATTTCCGCTCGTATCGAAAATAAGAAGAAATGTTTAATAGGAATATACTTAAATGATTTCAAAATGTTTATTAGATAGTAGAAAGAAAAAAAAGGAAAATTTTCTCAAAGTCATATTGAAGGTCATTTCAAAGTTATTGGCATTTTTTCCATATTAACAACTGTTTTTCATAATGTCACGTTGTACGGAGATGAGTTCAATGACCCATGACATTATGGCTTTAAGGCGACCTTGAACAGTAAAACGTTTTGTGGAGAGTCCTGTAATCTGTTGTTATCAGAAGTGTGTACGACATTTGATGCGAATATCATTTTCAAAATGTATTTATCTATAATTATCATTTAACATTCTAAAACTAAAATCAAATGATTTATAAAACATAATAATCAGCAAAGAAAATCAATTTTAAATGTTATATTGAGAATTAAGTCTCATTTTTTAAAATAGCATATGTCTTTACGTAATAAAAGTTTGCCATTATAAAATAGCTAGAAACTATGTACACTATCATTAAAAACGCTAAAACTACGATTAATACCTTATTTTTTGCTTAATAAGATATCATTATAGTTTACATTTTCTATATTTGTCTGGTACTCCACTCGGTAAAAGCAGCAACAAATATTGCTAATGCCTCTTAGATTTTCGATTTTTTCGGACATACATACAAATATTTAACAAACAATTAATTTTAGAGAACCAAATTTAAACGAATATTTGATCTATCGTGTATTTATACGAAGGAACGAAAATATTTTTATAGTAAAAATGTAAAAATAAAAGAGACTTTAAACAATAAACATATTGAAATTTCGTTGCCCGTGTTTGTTGGTTCATTAAAGTGTCCATCGAAATTAATGAGAAATTTGAAATAGACGAATTGTAATTGTACAATATTTTAGAAATTTAGAAATTTAAAGCTGAGAAGTATACGAATTCGTTTTCAATTGTATACATTATCTTCTCGACAAAATTAATTTCTTCTTTGGTTCAACCGGCTGGACAATCGTATAACGGAAATCAATTACACAATTTTTTTGTGTATGCGAGCGCATATCGCAAATCACGTGTAGGTAATACGTGAGTTACTTCATATTCAATCTACAGACCGCTTCCACAGAATCTTACGTAACGTTGAAGAACTGACCACATCATGGTAACGACACTTTTTACACGCTACTGTATAAACACCAGCGACTTGTATAAAAAAATTGTAGAAACTTATTACACGTTAGAAACGATGAGTTAAAAAGAAAAATGTACACATACATGCCACGATAGATTACATACAGGAACATCAAAAAGAAATTAGCTGTTAAATAAAAAAAAGAGTATTAAATACACAAGGCACTCCGAACACGCAGTCCTTGACCATTACAACCGCATCATTTATTCAATTTTTTACTCGATAAGACCTTTGTCAGATCGAATAAAATCAAAATCGCATTTTCTCACAGACTGTACTCAAAATTAACATTCACTTAACCATTCTTAAAATTGGCGACAAACCTATTTGTAATTCAACCCAATAGTAACGACCTTCACCGCTCACTTCCTCTTCATTTAACATATGAAGTAAAAAGTATCAAGATTTTTGTAAACAGCATCACGCCGCAATGATTACAGAATATTAATTACGATTGAAAATGTAAAATTCTTTGAAAATCAACCTGTCCTTGCTTCCACTGATGCATGAATAATCTATAAATATGATGCCTAGAGGGATTTAACGGTGTTTCGATACTCG